TTTGAATTGATTTCTTTGAGGACATTTCCTTAACCATGACCAGGATGCACACGTAGGCACGTAATAGATGAGTGCGTACACTAATTTATCAACTTTGTATAATACACTACACAATCAGCACACCATTGCTAGTCACCACCGTGCAACATCCCGTTTTTGAGCTAGGGTTATCGTGCCTTGCTCAAGGACCCATCCCAGTGACCTTCTACCTAAACGCCGTGTTTACTTCCAAGAAAGTATTTATCTCGACCATATGTGAGGCAGCGTGGTGGAATCAGGCTCTCGTCAATTTTTGGGCATTTTGAGTTATTGGTATCATCTTAAAGCTTGTTCGCCTGTCTTTATTTGGATGAAAAAAGTATCCCTTTATCTGAAATACAAGTCGAGATATTTACGAAAGAAGAAGGTGGGGGTCACTTGTTTTCAGAGGTAAAATTAGTGAGAAAATGGCTGCCAAGGGTTAGTTATTTCCTTAGCTTAAGAGTCCGTGGTAACTAAAAATTTACATTTTCTATGCCTTTAATCAACGTTTTTAAGAAAAATCCACACAGAAATGAGTTCTGTAATGGACATGAAAGGTGTTGAGCCAAAAAACAAAAATTTAATAAAAATTCACAAACCTGCGGGAAAATGCAAGCTTCTTCCTTTTGATTATTTTGACGAGAGCCTGATTCCATCACGCTGCCTCACATATTGGGAACCTTTGCTCACTGACCAATCGGCCAATGGAGACGCCAGGGGGCAGTGCTTTGGTTTCACTCTTATTATTTCACTCCTCCATCGACACGATTTAGATCATTTAGAATTGCATGCTGCTTCTGACCTGTCTTTCGAACCAACCCTTTGTGGGTGGTTTGGCAAGTGCTCTAGTTTACGTTGCTCTTTCTTTCCTATCAAATATATCGTCCCAATCTCTCCTCCTTCTTTTCTTTGTAGTATATTATTCTTGAGTAACACCTCTCAGCTTCAGCACTTGTATGACCTATGACCTATTTGTGATGTAAGTGCCGTAAAACACCGGACTTGGTGGAAGAAAACACATAATTGTCAGTCGAAAGTAGCCTAAAAAGACCTTTTGAATGACAGGCCAACACCTTAACCTCTAGGCCACGAGAGCCCCAGTACGCGCTCTGGTGTGGTTTGCTCCTTCTTTTTTATATAAAAAATCTATCGTCCTTATCTCTCCTCCTTTTCTATGTATATTACATTCTAGTAACACCTCTAACCTTGAGCAACTTGTATGACCTATTTGTGTTTTAATGTGGTACTAAACCCTTTCTAAAACTGAAACTAAAGCCAGTTAGAATCCCATGAACTATAATATTTGAGATGACTCAATGGCGACGATTTCTTGCCGTGAATGTCATTGCAATTTTGTTTAATATTATTACTTTCTCCTGCAGCATGTTGGTCACACCTTCACTCTCTGGCTCCATTAGAACTCGAAAGACCGTAAATTTAGATCAAAGCTGAGATGGTTTTTGGGCGTGCCTCCTTTCATGTCTGTCTAACTAGATCAACCCGCATACACAAATGCACACACAAGTGCATACAAATACGTACATATATAGGTACACACAGTTCCAAACTCACACAGTCCGAAAAAACATATAGGCACATACAAACATACTCACACATATTGATATACACACTCAGTCTCTGCAACAAGCCATACATTTAATTTGTTGACACTCTTATTGAGTAGTTCTTCCTTTTTCCTTCACGAATGCAGGCTTTCTCACTCCCGTGGTCTCACAAGAACAGAATAAACAAGAGACAAATATACGCGAGCATGATGTGAATTTAATCCACGAAATTCTATGGGCAAAACTGGTCCTAAATTTTCATCAAATATTAAAAAAGATTCACCTCCTTTCCTCCCCCCCCCCGTCACTCCATCTCACTCCCGTCCTCCCCCTTCCTTCCTTCCGTCCCTATCTGTCCTCCTCTCCCTTCATTTCCTCCCATTCCCCCTCCTTTCCTCTTCTTCCCTCCTCTTCCTCCTTCCCCCTCCCGTTCATCCTCCCAACACATTCTTCCTTCTCCCTTCTTATTCGTCCATCTTCCCTCCCCAACTCCCCTTCTCTCCCTCCTTCCAGCGAGTTTCTCCCACGAACAAAACAAGACTTTAGAAATACACTGACACCAAACTGACAAGATAGGTGGTATCAGTAAGTGAGTAGGTACGTGTTATAAGAATGACAATGGCGGAAAAAA